TCTCTGTCCGTATCTGTATAATTTGTCATGTATTAAAAAGCATTTTGTTCAAAAGGGCCCAGGTATATTCTGTCCCACGACTCACACAGCTTCAAATATGTATGCTCATCTTCACAGTTCTGTTCCTACAAAGTATTCCTCCAGCTGCTCACTTCTGTGTTTCTGAGTGTAAAACCTTATAAACTGTCCTGTGAATGCAAACAGTAGAGACAAACAATGCATTATACTCAGCAGGCCTCACCTGCCTTTAGAGTTTCTCAGATCATAGTTAATTCCAATGAAATCAATTCAGTCCTTAGATCTGTTCTGTACTGAAATACTGAACTTTTGCCTTCTGTTTGGTTTTGACTGGAGTCAATTACAATTATGTTAAATTGAGCAGGGCAGTTATTGTCCTATGTTGTCATTTCTTCAGACTGAAAGGAAAATTGCTGAAAGCATTATCTCTTTTTCAGATTGTCAGATCTGCAGCTTTCTCCAGGGAGGGAACACTGAGCCTGAGTCCGGCAGGTTTCCCATTTCCCAAGGACTTCCAAGTGAGCTTTGGTTTTCGCACCATGGCATCAACTGGAACACTCTTAAGTTACAATGTAAGAGTATGAATTCATGCCTGTTCATCTTAGAACATGTGATTTTTTTTGTGTGTGCTTCTGGATCAGTCATGTGCGTTTGTGACCATGTCAGCTTTGGCATCACAAATAAGTCTCTTGAGTATGTCATCTTGCATGTCATAGGCCAAAGAAACTCTGTGTTTGGCCTATGTGTCAGAATATTCTGTGGAAAGGGGTTTATTTGGCTATATTTCCTCAGGAAGCAGGGAGGATCAATCATAGTCCCATTCTTGCTGGCTTGAGGAGCTAATGTAAAGAAGACAGTGAACATCAGGCATTTGAGAAGTGGAGAACTGAATCCTCTGCTTACTCTTTGTAAAAATTATTTAAACAAGAAGTGTAAATAATTATCTGGTATTCAAGGTGCAGAGGTATTCTGAAAAAGGAAGCACGTGATTTGTAAAGAACTGGGAGTTCTTTACAAAGTCCGGTAATACATTACCTGAGAAATGCAGTTTTGGGGTAAGATGATTTCTCTCCTACAAGGTAATGTAAGATACAGACAATCCAGGAGCAAGGCATATTACCACCCCTTCTTACCACTGAGCGCTATATCAAATGGCATTGTCAGGGAGAACTGAAGGAATTTGCATTTATTGACCATTTTGTGGAATTCTTTTTTTTTAGCCTAATATTCTTCTTATCTTCCTGAGACCTGGCTCTGTAGTTGTAAGGATGGGAGAGATGGAAAACAAACTGAACAAGAAATATGAAGACGGGTCAATGCATTATGTGACAGTCATAAAAAATGATGACATGTGAGTTCAGTTCTTTATCTGATTCTTTAATGTTGGAGAAACATTAAGATTTTGTGTGACTTGTTCTTTGGGTACACAGCTAAAAATGACCCGTGCTAGGAAAGGAAAAGGAAATAATGAAGCAAAAGAAGATAATTGGCGTGTGAATTTGCATGTCAGTACCTACGAAGTTTCAGCTGTACATCAGTATGGACGTTGTTTTGTATACACTATGTGATTTTTGTCTGCTTGGCAAGCCTGAACTTTGGAGCTCTTCTCCTTCCCATAGCCTTTACATGTGTCATCGTGAGTTATAAATCTATCCATAAGTGGTTAAAGGCCCAGGGAAGAAGCTAAGAATTGTGTCTGTTTTCTCAGGAGTTAAATAACATTTCATGAAAAGCTTCTAAATCATATTGATTTTTGAGGATCACATAAAAAAAAAAAATTCCATCTAAAGAAGAAAGTTTTCAATGATTGTCTCTAACTTAGGCTAATTACAACTTTTAATATTTTTTGTACTAGCTGTTGCTAACAGTGTCAAGTGCACCGTTTTCATACAGACAATGAAATCTATCCTGTAGCTGTCAATGGGAGTTTTTTCGTGATTTTCAGTGAGATCAGGATTTCACCCTAGCACTGAAGGGCTAGCTTCAACTCTTGCTAAATATGTACCACTGGAAAGCAGGGTGATTCCACGGAAGTCAGGGAGCACATACTGATGTAAAAATCCCAGAAATAAGGTAATGGAGCTCTAGCATCATTACAATAAAACAGGGAAAAACCTTTCTCAAATATTTCTTCTTTTTCTCATTCTTTCATTTAGATGCATAACTATTTCTTTAGATTTCATGCTTATTTGTATTCACGTTGTTTCAGACTCAGACTGATGGTTGATGATGAGCCTGTGTCAATGACAGTTGACTCTCCAGGACCACAGACATTAATCCAGCCTATAAGATTTGGTGGAGATGATTTTGAAGGTTGCATCTCAAACATCTTTATAGAAAGGTATTTGGCCTAGAAAGATTTTCAGTTTCAAGCATTTTGATCTGCTTTCCTTTTTGATCATATTAAAATTACTTTTTGCTAAATTGCTTTTCTTCCACATACATGAAGCCTTCATGAATAAATAACTTTGCTGCCCAAAACATCCTTTTATTCAGACAGATTACACATGCTATCAAGTTATGATGAAATCTGTCATTCAGATGTAATGGAATTTTCGGCTGAATTATACGTGTTTACTAGTCTTTTAATCAAAGAATAACTCAATATAGTGAATTGACAGTGTCCCAACAAGGCATCCAAACAGATCTCCTAGATTATATCATTATAGCTATGCAGGGAGCCATGTAATGAATGAGCAAAGCTTCCCAACAAGTCCAGAACAGTTAAACAAATGAGAGCACATGTCTGATTTATGTTATCTCTTTTTCACATGTGTTTATCTGGTTATTAGAGATACCTTATAGTTGAAATTTAGGAGAGAAATTTGGCATAAACATGTTGTTTAAATAAAAGCATTCCTTCCATCACAAATGCTGTCCCAGTAGGGCTTTGTTTCAGCAGAGTTTTGATGAATGTTTATACATGTGTGGTTTTTACAAAAAGTAACATATTTTGATTTGGTTAAATCTTCTTTAAATCTCGACAATCAAGACTCTGCAAGACAATGAAGTAACATTTATATTAACCTCCCCATCAAAAGCCAAATTTGGAGAGTTGCTTTCAATACAAAAATGAAAACCTTTAGCTGGACAATTAATATCATAGCTAGTGTGATCAAGTGAATGAAGAACTGGATTGGATTTCAAGAAGTCTAGGTTCTGCTCCCAAATCTTCATATAGAAATCAATGGGCAAGGAGCTTCATTGATCTTTCTCTGTTGTAAAGTGTTTTGTACCTTACTGATTAAAGATGCTGTGTAAGACCTACAAAATGATAGTATTAATAATATTCTTTTTACACACAGGAAATTGATTTTGACAGTCTTTCTGATAATTTTGCTATAATTTTCAGAGCTGCATATTAAGTTGTGATGGACCTTACCTCCTGACAAAACTCCTTAGAACATCTCTTCATCTCTGAAGGAGGGAGTGGTTGAGTTAGCAGGATTTCATGTTTCCGTTTTTTCTTGATCTGCCACTGGCTATTCATATATTAACCAGCAAAGTTTTGTAGTCTGATCCAGAATCTTATTCAACCAAGGCTGCTGTCATGTTGTCTCCTTTTCTCAATGGCAATATTTGTTTTTTTTAAAATAGATCGCTTTTAAAACAAAATAATTTGTCTGGAAGAGCTGAGAACAAAACATCAGGCTTTTTTCCCAAGCTAAAAAGAAAAGGGCAGAACCAGGACAAATGTGAACACCCAAACAAACCTAAATTTTTCACGAAAAAATATTTGGAAGAAAAAGTGAAATCAGCTCTAATTGGAGGAGAGGTGAAAACCGGTACTTTAACACTGGGTCACTGAGCAATCTGTTTTGTACATTGCGCAGTTTTACAGTATGTTGCTGATTCTGTTGAAGAAAAGGAATGTTGTGTTATAGCGCTTGCTGCTTTTATTATTCTAGGGCAGGTCAGCTCCCTGAGGTTCAAAATCTAGTTAACTACACTAGGAAGACTGGTGTGTCTCTTGGAGCTTGCCGCCAATACACAAACCCTGAACCAATGCTGCTGAAAGAATTCAAAAATCCCCTCAGGTCTAAGATGCTCAAGGTATGCTTATTTTTACTGTCATCTCCACTCCATATTGATACTGAGGCTTTGTCTGCACAACCATGGTTTGTGAAACCATGGTTGGACTGTGAAACTTTCAATTCTGTCTTACAGTTACAGAATGAAAAATACGTTGACTATCTAATAGATGCCGAAGTGCAGCAGGACCAGCAAAACCGTGCTTTACCAGCTCAGTTAAATGTCAGCAGTGGAGCATACCTGTTTGGAAACAATCCCAACAGTTTTATGTCATACACATTTTCCCCACTATCCCCTACAGACAGGTAATACAAAATGTTCTCTAGTCACCTCACTTTAATCTTCAAAGCTGCTTGAATCTTTGGGTGCTAAGAGCTAGGTCTTTCTTCTTGCTGATATCTTTGGGCACAACAGAAGAATGGTTCTAAAGGTTCTGGGAATTTTTTCTCTGTTAACATTTCACCAGACAAAGCTATATGATTGACTTGGATGGGGTTGACAACCATACTGCATATTGATGCCAAGTCCTAAATCTGAATATGTCAACTTTCATCCACATTCAGAAATGGAAAGAATGTAGAACACTGTGATTCTACCCAAAAGCTGTTCTGCACTTCCCCAATGGAGTTTCACTGGCATTTTTCTGGAGAACAAAAAGGGTACAACGACTAACAAAACAGACCTACATTTGCACATGCTTTCTTTCCACTGCAGGGTACATTTTTCTGTAGACGTACGGACTCAGTCATCAAGAGGATTAATATTTTTCGTGGAGGAAAGATTTGAGAACTATTACATGGCTCTCCACCTTTCAAAAGGACGTTTTGTCTTTTCACTTGGTTCTGGAGAAAAACGAATCAAAATCAAAACCAATACTAAATACAATGATGGGCAGTGGCACACTGTAAGTAGCATGGCACAGGGACCATGGTGAGACCACAACTAGCCTTCAGCAGGCACAGCCTATTCAATTTCTAAGTTACTGGGCAGAGACAGGGAAGGAAAGTGCGAAATTGTTCCTTTTGGGCATCTGAAATGAATTCATATGGCTGAAAGTTCCTGTGGTTGACAGGTATCTGTTGTGAGAGAGCTTATAGAGACTTAAGGTCCTAAGATGTTATTTTCAGTTTAAATATTTCAAGAGTACTGTGTTAAAGTTAAAGAAGAATTCTGCAATTCGGTATCATTGCGATACCGAAGATGGTGAGGTGCAGGTGTAGCAGGCAGTGTTCTGATTTTTGTCACACCCAGAGAGCTAATGCAATTATTCCATTCATAGACTGCAGCAAGGGTGACCTAAGAATGGATTCCTGAAAGTCTGAATGATCGAGGTGCAAGGTGCTCCTGGTTTTCAAACTATCTTGATATTTGACAGAAGCATTTTATTGATCTACTTCCATTTCTGTTCTTTGCTAGTTTCAGATGAGACAGAATTGTATATTCTTGCTTTAAAGCTGTACTGTGTATGATTAATTTTTCGAAAAACCCCTTTTTGCTGTTTGGAGCACTAGCTCCAGTGACTTTTACTCGGCTTGAGATTTCTCATTCTGTTATGTCTGCACCCTGCAAAGGTGGTATTCAGTAGAGATGGGAAAAATATCCGTCTTCTTGTTGATGGTCTAAGGGCCCAGCATGGAAGATTAGCAACAAATTCTGCCATCAGCATTGAGCCACCGATCTACTTGGGAGGGCTGCCAGCACTGAAACGACAGGTAAATAACTGATGCATCCACTCACACACACTGCCCGCGCTACATACATGTCAAAGTATTAATATGCTGGATTTCCATGGTGAAAAGGTTTGGGAGATATTTCCAAGCACTGCATGAGCACCATTTGTGCTTGGTGTTTGCAGTTGTTCATTATAGATCTTCCTCAGTTGTGCGCACAAGTATCAGCTGGACCCTTGTTTTCAACACGTGTTGTTGAGATACTGATGATAACTATGTGCTGTTTGCATTTCTGTACTTTAGGAAATACAAAAAGCCAGTCAAATTTGTAATTCCAGGGATACAGTCTTCCTACAGAATATTTATTTTAATGGGCTTAGTGATATTCAGTAGAGAGCCAGGGAATCCTTCTCATTAAGGACTTATGAACGTAAAATCTGATTTTAATCTGAAATACGTATTGTCCCTATTACTTTAAAAATGAACAGTTGATGATGCAAGGCATTTTATAGAATCAGATTTGAATATGCAGCCTCTTAGGAAAGGAAAGGGTATATTTGAGATCTTACAACTCCTGTTGTGTTGTCTTTTTGACACATCACTGAGAAGCAACACAAGGAGTTGTGTTAACTCAAAATCAGCTGTTGCTTTCATGTTTTAAGATGTTTAATTTCAGGATACATTTTCAATTCATAAGAGACAGGTTTTAGATGCCCTTAAAGACAGCTGGCTTTCTACAGTCCAACAATACAAAAGAACTACTAGATGTTCTTACTAAAAAGTCATTCATGTTTTGAAATATGCTTTCAGATTATGCCAGTGAACAGTTTCAAAGGTTGCCTTAGGAATTTCAAGATGAACGGAAAAGTCATGAATACGCCTCAGCAAAAAAATGGTGTGCTTCCATGTCTGGATGTTCCCATGGAGACTGGGATTTATTTCTTTAATGAAGGAGGATATATCACCATTGGTAAGCTGTGTAGAGATTATGTTATATGGAATTATGTGTTAAATGTGTATATGGAAGGATTTTTTTTTTTTTTTACATTTTTTGCATGTTCTCCCAGTTATCTTCTTCTGTGGTCATTCCTTTGCCCACTGTTTAATTCTCTACAGATAATTTGGTGATGGGCTTGGATATTAGGATTGTATTTACTGTTCGACCAAGGAGCGCAACAAGTGTACTGCTCCATTCTGGAAGCAAGCGAGACAACTACTTGACTGTTTACCTAGAAGGAGGAAAGGTAAGTTTTACAGGCTCTGTCTCCATTTCAGCTTTATTGCCATCATTCAGCAGAGGGAATTCAGACCTTGAACACTGGACTTATTTATTACAACATCTGTCTGTAGATTTAACGTTAAACAACTTCCCCATGTGTTTCCTCCAAAGGTTTAAAACTGTCCTATGGAAAACTGAGCATGAAACCTGTCTCTGTGCCTACATAAGGAGCTTCCACTGTGTGCACGCTGGCTTGCACATGTTGTCCTCACAACAGTCAGCAGTAGGCCACAGTCTTCATCTTCTTGGATGTCTTGGCCTTTACAAAAGCCCACTGGGCTTTTGGCCAGAGGCCACAGAACTCCATGGCTTATTCCTGCTCCTATTTTAGTCATCATTTGGCTAAGGTACTGATGCAGCTCCATAACTACCTCCACTGCAGAATTTGAGCAGTCTCGCTTCATGTTAGCATCTTTGCCTCTAGCTGACAGGTAATGGTAGTGGTTGTGATTGCTGCTGATTTTTCATAATATAATAGCTTCAGAATGTGAGTCTTGGACCACAAAACCATTGTGCTTTTTGCTGGAGAGACATCAAATAAAAAGCTAGTCTCTGCTCCACAGAGTTTGTTGTCTCAAGACATGGTTTAAACCAGCATGAGTCCACCTTACTGCAGGAAGGGTCAGTTTTGCCCTTCTCTCCCCAGACATAGCTGCCCATTCCTGGCCATCATTAGGGCAGGCACCAGTGAACCCTGATTAGGGAACTAAGATGGCTGCCTTATTTATTTATTTATTTTTGTTTTTAGTTAGTTTCGCTCAGAACCTTGATCTGGTTCAAGGCACAATGAGTACATGGAGGCAGGCGCATCGGCACCTGCGGACTCCTAAGGGCAGGACCACTTTTTTCAGCAATAACTTAGATTCATGCTGGGTATGTGTGTGGACAGAAAGCAGCAGGATGGAATGAAAGGTCAATGAGACACCATCAGTCAGCCTGATAGGAAGTGGATTCAGCATGTCTGTCACCTGACCATTACCAAGCTTGTTGTAAGCATCACAGCAAAAGAGAGTTTGAAGGGAAAGTGCTTGTTTGAAATGTAATAGTAAATAGTCAGGCTGCAAGCATTATGAGTAAATTATGAATAGACTGAAATTGTGTTAAAGGCCAGAGAAGTACGTTGCAGTGATTGTCTCAGGAGATACCAAGCTTGTGGATGACTGCTTCAGCTGAATAAATGGGTAGGAAAGACCTTGTCTAAGAGAGTTTATGTCAAAAGAATTAATATTATTTTGTAAGACTGAGGGGGAAAGAGAGACAAAGGTATGCATTTTTGCTTGTATAATTTATAAAATATCTTCTCCTAGGATTCTACTAGGGAAATTTAGTTTCATCTTGGAGAAGATCATTTCTGGGATACGAATACACTGACTGTGACTCTTAAAATTATATGAAACCCAGCTCCTCACAACTTCAGTAAATGAATACTTCAAGTCCTGTATTTTTCTGTTGCTTTTCTTTACTATGGTACCTTACGAGATAACTGTTTTACAGCTCATTGCTGCTGGAAATAATGGGGCTGGAGAGTTCCAGACATCAGTCACACCTAAGCATTCTTTGTGTAATGGCCAGTGGCATACAATTGCAGGTATGTTGTATCATGCCAGTTCTTCTGAAACTTGGAAAGGTGGATGGGCACAGAGATTTGCATGCCCAGATTTTTACTAATCATTTCACTTCTGTTTATTCTGAGAATGCTCTTTAGAAAAATATAAGTGTCTTATGTTAATTCAAGGCATTACAAAAGAGAAGGGGAGAAGATTAGGTTTATTTTGCCCCAGAGTATCTAGATGCGTCAGTCTGACTTTGAATTTCTCCTATGAATTACGTTTTGACAAGATAGATGCTTTTTAAAATAGTGTCATATCTCTGTCCACTTCTTCAATAGGGTTGAGAAAGAGTACTCATTTACCTGTTTCTTCACAGTCTCTCAGAAGGAGAACACCATGCAGCTAGAGGTAGGCGCACAGAGCAACTATACCACTGGACTTCCACCCTTTATTCCTAGACACATGCGTCAGCCACTCTACTTCGGCAGAATTCCAGGTAATGTTATTGCTGCTTCCTTTTTCAGTTATGTACTCGCTTCTTATTCCTTTCCAGTACAAAGGTCCCACTCATGCATGTAGTCCTATATCATGCCCTCTCTTCTCTTGAACAGCTTCTTTTTGATAGAGACTAAGATTCAATCTACCTAGCAAGTAGTGCCATGGAATGGAGCAGATCCGTAGAGAAAACTAATCTGAACTACTGAGGGCCCAGCATGTACGCTATGCATGTTTTGGGAGCTTTACATCCGACTAGGTCTAGTGTGAAACACACTGACTGCCTAGTAGTGACTGCCTAGTGCATTAGGTGAATGTTCCTGGAGTGGATCTTCTGGTTTAGTTTCACTGGAAAGGAATCTAGTTCAAATGTTCCAAGATCAAATCAAAGCTGTAACACCCAAACCTCCGGTTAGTTCAGCTTCATCAGAACAGGATGTTCTGGGTGCATCACTGCCTCAGAAGGGCTAGAGCTTGGTGTCTTTATTCTGTGCTGAGATTCCCCATGAAGTCTGGGTAGAAAGAATGGAAGGTGATGCTCCTACTGAGAAAGTTTTCACTCAGATGGGAAGCAGGGGAGAATACAACTACATGGGAGGTCTCATAAGACAGATCATGAGGAAAAGGTCCTCAAACTGAAAGAAGAATGAAGAACATCAGATGCTGGTCAAATCCTGTCATATTTGGAACCAAATCATGGAAAATAGATTCATTGAAAAATATTCCAAGTGTTTCATCTACAGTAGAGAATAGTTCACTGTATCTTGGGAAGTTTGTTTCCTGCTACATTTAACAGAAAAGATCTAAGATCTAAGAGTACATTATCAAAACCTTGCAAGTGTAATGTTCTTTAAAATTCTTTGCAAGAATTAATGTTATTTAAAATCATTCTTACGTTATTAATGTGATATTTTTTCCTTGTTTTATGTAGCATATTTGGCCACACCATGGCTTCCAGTTAAAGATCCATTTTTTGGCTGTCTTCGGAATATTAGCATAAATGACAAACCTGTCTCCACCAAAAAAATTTCAGAGGTTCATGGTGCAGTGAGTTTGCATGGATGCCCTGCCAAGTAACTTTGCTGTTACACTACTTGTACACTCATCAGATTGGATCTGCTGAAGTACTTTATGAATTCATGTAATGTGGGTTCCCTTTTTCCTGATCACTGTGTCACTGTCATCAGGCTGGTTATGCAGAATGGCTGGTGAGCAAAGGCATCCTCTGGACCTGGACTGTGCCAGAGCAAACTGAAAGGATTGGATTTGATAAACTCCCTGTTAAATGTTATTGATTTCCAAGGTAATCCATTGTGTCTTTTGAAAACAGATGCATAAAATATAAAACAGGATTGTATATACACCTACTGGGCCAAATTTTGCTCTCACCCATAACAGCACAGTATTGAGTCACTCCCGTGTCTTAATTTTGGAAATTTGCCTTAATGCTGGTCATCTTGTGAGCAAATTTGATCCACTAATATAAAGAATTTTTATAAAAATATAAATTTCTTTGGATTGATGAACAAAATGTTTATACAGAAATGTACATTAGTGTTAAAAGTTATAATAATAATATAAATGGAGTTTGAAGCACTTTAAGGAGTGAAACTCTGGGAGTTTGTTACAATGTTAGGAATTTGGGGGCCAAATAAATACAGTATGTTCTGTAAACTGTCCATTTTCTTCTTTCGTTATTTTAATTTGGTTTCTCTTTTATGTACTTTTTACAGGCAACTAAATCCTGCTTACTTTATGCAAATATTTCTGTAACTTTAAAAAGTTCATTTGCCTGAGTAAGCAGGAGTCTATCATCTATGCTTATTAGAATTTGGCTATACAAAAACCGCTGAAAGAGAATAATTTTCCTTTGTAAGCTTCAGAGCCATGATCATGACCCATGGTCGAAAGAACACAGCTTTATTGCTTTCTTTTTCTGGACAAAGGGCTGGCCCGAGTAGATCTGACATGGCTTCTCCTCCCACTGTCCTTCAGAAGCAGCCTTTTCATTCTATTGCTTTTTTTTTTTTTTTTTCATTCCCTGATGCCATCTCTGTTTTAAAATTAAAGCTTTTTCTACAGCTGGCCACTAGGCGGGAGAAGATGGCAGACCAGCCATGGCAGACCTCCCTTCCCACCGATTCCCATATTGGCTCCTGTTTGCTCCCTTCTTGCCGGTTCCTCTTTGCCCAAAGTTCAGGAGCTTACTCTCAGTGTGTGTTTGGAAGGAGATGCTAGCTGGATTAGTAGAAGAAGATGCTAGATCAATAGTCCTTATGGCTTTGGTCATTAATTCCTTATAAAATCTTGCAGTGTCAGGTCTCGTGATGGCAAAACGGCAGGAAAGGTGGTCACACCAAACCTTTAGTTGCTTCTTCTTTTTGGGCCATTCTCTTACAGGCTGATCTGTCCCTTTCTTTGTCCACGTGGAGGTCTCCTGGCCGTAAAACTGATGTTGGGGGAACGGAACATGGTGAAACTGCACTGGGGTGAGGCCTGGTGGGAATAAACGATGGGCACCTAACGGCCAACCCCCTCTCGCTGGAGATCCACTCCAGAAACTGCTTTTCCTGCATGGCTGCCTGCCCCTCTGGAAAATAACACCCATCTAGCTAGAGGCCATGTCTTTGGAAAGGATCTTGTCAGATAGCAACAACTGAACCCTCTCCATGCTTAATGCTCCCTGCCTTTGAAGTACTGCCAAATATTCAGGTGACGAAAACTGTTGAAATACTCAACTGATTTATTGGCCTTAACTGACACTGACAACTCCTATGAGGGGAAAGGAAGAATAGTTAAATAAACTTTATCAAGCCATTCTCTAGTAAACATTTCAGTGACCTTTTCCTAGTCACAAAAAAGCCTTTTCCCTTTTCCCTTCCGCTCCTCAGAAAAAACAAGCATGGCAAAGGTTTTGCATCCAAAGGTGGAGCCTGTCCTAGATTTCAGTTCCCTTCCATTTGAATTTATTTTATCAGAAGTAGTTTTAGTGCTGACTGGAAAGAAATGAAAAAATATATGAAGACCCGAGTAAATGTGTGTAATAATGATGAGTAAGCATTAACTCCAGTGCAATCCTAATACATAACAAAAAAGTGTTGAAAAGTCTCTCTTTTAAGTTTGGTTTCTTTTCTTTCGGTTTCTTCAGTCGTATTGTTTCCATAGAGTTGTTGAGACAATGCATAAAGCCACCTAGAGTTTTGGGTTTTGTGCTTAAACATGGATGAATCTACATCAGGCCAATAAACACTTCCTAAAATGCTTTTCAATCCGAAAAAAGCCAGTACCATAACCTTTACATGAGGAAATAAGTTGTCCTGTTTAGATTAGTCTGATAAAGAATTATGACTTGAAGAAAACCACATGGACACTGAACTATATTTCATGCATGGTCTGCTCTGTACTTAGAATATTCTGAATTTTCTCACTTGGGAAACATCTACTAGAAAACAAGTGCCTGAATTTTCAAGTATTTCAAGTCATGAATGGCAGACATAATTTCAACTGTAAAGAGTCTTTCCATTCAAGTTCACCAAGAAAGGTATTTGTTAAAGGGAAAATAAACAGTTCCCCCCCAATACATTTTATAACAGACCAAAAGTGAACAAATCCTGTAGTAAGATGAAAAGTTAAGTGAATAAATAGCAATGATGTGAGGTAAATACCCTGTCGTGAGTTCTTATTGTTATGAGTAGTATTTCCTAGGCTTTCGTCATTGTAGTGCTGGCATTTGGCAGTAACTTCCATGATTATTTACCTCCTTTGACTGTTTCAGATGGACCTCCAAATCTATCCATTCCTGGATCATAACAATATTAAATTAACTTTCCATGAGAAGAAGCTTTACCTGTAATTTTTTATTCTGTAGTCTGCTTTATTATTTGCTATTCAGGCCTTACAGTAATGCTAATATTTTCAACAGTAAAACCTCTCAACTTTGGCCATCCTTTCTCAGCCTGCATTACTGCTCATTGCTTACGTTCAAAGGTGCAAAGGTATCACAGCTCGCATTTTGAAACAGTGTCATTCACCTTATAATTAGAAGTAGTAACCAAAGACATGCCTGTGTTAATGTCTGTTGGTTAACTTTTGCTATTTTGTTTGCACATCTTTAAAGTCAAGCTTCTGAGAAAAGTTTTGAAAAGTTTAATGAAAAAGTTTCAAATATAGTGTTCAATAAGCAGAGAGTGCATCGCTGAATAATCATGCTCTTTAACAGTATGCTTAGATTGTCATAAATGGCTCATTTTGATCCCAAATCAATTATATAAGGAAGAAGATTTTCTTTCTAGACCAAACCACATTTGTTTTTAATTGCCAAGCCTCCCTCTTGTCTGTTTAAGTATCAAGGGCAAAGAGTTCTTCAGTTAATTTGGATTAGTTTTAGTAGGATCATGATTTGAGGTGGATGACACCAAGGTCCACGAGTTCCCATTTATTATATCAACAAAGCACAGCCAGATTATAATGGGAGCTGCAAGACGGTTAATAAGCCTAACACTGAGAATTGCAGGCAAATAAAATTAAATAGATCACAGGCATTGTAGAAAGAAATACACAATTACTGTGAAAAGCAGTAGAATTCATAGGTATATGTATATGCAAGGAAAACATTTTTCATTTTACTTTCTGCTTCTAAATGATACTGGTACTTAAGTCTCTAACAACAAAAGCTTCCAAGTAAAACTTCTTCACAGTCTTCCCTTACCTGTGCTTGAAGGTCTGTGCTTTGGTTACTAGGGAGCTTTCATGTAAATACAGAGCCCTCCTCCTTTCATTTCTTTCAGCAGTAAAATGAATTGGGTGGGTCAGCTTTCTCCAGTTTTGTAACCACTTCTCTGGGTTCATCTGTGAGTGGTTTCATTTTAGCCCTTCCTCCTGCTAGGAGCCTTGGATCTTCTGGAGTCTTCAGTGCAATATTTGTTTTTGCGCTCCCCTTTGTTTCCTTTGTATCCCTCATAAAATAGCAGAGTAGCCTGAATAATGTGGTCTCACTGAATACTCTGTAATGCATGATGGCTTTATAATGAACTCTTGCTATGCTTTTTGTCTCTTACTATTTTCTTTGTGGTTTCCTCATTTTAAAAACTGCTGCATCTTTCTCCAATGCTTCAAGGAAACTCGGGGCACAATGGTCCAGTCTCCTGTAAATCTGTCTGTATTTTCTAAAAATACATTAAATGGATGTTCCTGGCAAAAGAAACCGCTTTTTGTTAAATGGGATAGTGCCACCATACAATCTTACAGCTTCCCTCAAGGCATTAAGACTGGAAGGCACAAGCATAAACCGGCTTTGTGCAGCTGGCTCAAACACTGCAAAACTGCAAGAGGTTGGTCATTGCCAGAGCTGCAGTGAAGCATCCTCTGACTATGAAGAACTGAAAGCAAGATACCCAGTGCGTCTTTATTTTCTCTGTGTCGATATTTGGTTTCAGAGGATCTCAAACTCTGACCTGTGTGCATATCATGCTGTGTCTCCAGGTTTGCAGCTGATAGCATTCAAAATGTATAAGATATTTTTAAAACACACTCCTAGCACTGCTTTGCACCTCAGCCAGTGACTCTGTTTCCTACAGGTTGTTCTGAATGTGAAGCACATGTGAAATGTTCATGCGACACAGTTTCTTTGTTAAGCTGTCACCTGCTCCTTGATAGAGACGGAGCACTGCCGCATTATTGCACAGAATAAAAAGACAGAGTTAGTTGGCATCATGATCTTTTGTCTCTATTCAGTTATATTTAAACTTGGAACAGCAATGGATTTCTCTGTTGTGCATGAGCCTCTCTCTTAACTAAGATTCCTGTGACAGAAGAACTATACCCTGTTAAGAATGAATAATTACATGCATAGGAATCTCAGTAGCTTATAAGTTAGTATAAAAAAAGAAAGACTTGCTATTAGACTTTCAATCCAGAAAGAACTGTTCAGAGAGCTGTTTTCTGACACTTGAACACATATTGGAGAAAATAATTTTAAAGCATACTGAAATAAATGGCTCTGTGTCCAACTCTTGCAGATAAGGTTTTAATTAACAATGTATTAATAATGTAATGAGTCATGATCTAAGAGAATGAGATATTACTTGGTATATAGGGCTTATATTCTTATGTAATAGCACTGGCCATAAATCTTAATTCCAGAAGCTTCTGCCTACTTTCTAATCAAAATTACTGGCTGGAAGCTACAAACCTAGAAAGTCAGTAAAATGCACAGATACCAATTCCTCTGGCTAAGACCAGGATTTCAGCTAATAAAATTTACCCCTGAGAGCAAGGTGTCGAGTAATGAGATTGTAACTTTCCCTTTGCTGTATTTAGTTAAATCAAAGGTAATGATGTACCTTGGGGACAGAGTAAGCTAAGTATTAAAGAAGCTAAAGGAGCTCTGGGCAATTCTCCAAGAAAATATGTACACATGATCCAAAGTTCAGTGGCTTAGTGGAAGGATCTAACCACTTCACAGGACTTCCATTCACACACTTTATTAAAACCTGCAGAAAAATCTTACATGAAGTTTATAAATATATATTCTAAGATATTGCCAAGGCTTATAAAGAATTTTTATTGAAGAATAAAACTGGAATGCAAGAAAGCAGGACGCAGTCTCCAGAAGACCTAAGACAGCCCTTTCTGTGTAAATTTGCATAAATATAAACTTTACCCAGTGCAAATGGTATTTGCACTAGCAACAGAGCTGGAAACAAGGAGACCAAGCAAGTAAAACACTGTGACGCACTAATATCAGTGGTGAAGGCAGCACTGAGGAGGGGCCTCAGCCTGGCAGCAAGGAGCAAGCCCGCAGAGGCCCTCCAGGCTCAGTCTTCCCTCTTGCTGCTCTAAATCAGAACTAACCCCACCGAGCCTGCTGTGCCTTGACTAGAGGGAAGGAAAACCCTTCTGAGCTGAGCTGATAATCCCTGCACGCAAAAGAGTAAATCCAGGTTTTTGAACTGGTAAATTGTAAATACTTGGCTTCTTGTAACTTTATGCTGCCACATTAGAGGAAGGAAATGCTCCCACTTCTGAGTCACTTACAAAGACATGTGATCTCTGAATCTATATACACTGTTTTTATCATGGGAGATAAAATGAACTGACATGATGTGTATACCCAGAACAAATTTAATTCAAAACAGACACCACAAAAATACTAATAATCATCATCATTATTTAATTAAAAAGGAATGAATAGGACAATCTTCCAAAGAGACACAGAAATGCCATCAAAGAGAATAAAGGCCAGGTGCATGGTTGGCATAAATCAACATAGCTCCATTGATGCCTGATCAGAGCTGAGCTACCGAGAAAAGGATCTGGTTTTGCCTGTGCAGCCTATTGTTTTTAAACGCTGGGAACACAAAAGCATGGCTCTTATGAAAAGCTCTTTGTTTCAAAGCGTTAAAACGAAGAATGTTTGATTTACTTTCTATGGAAAAAAATTCAGCTTTTTTTTTTTTTTTAACCAGTACAAACCCGCATAAGGGACAGAGGGCTAGAGAGAAAGAAAACAGATTTTACAGTTAAAGAAGGAAAGGCAAATAAGGGAAAGTAAACCTTAAGCCTGGTCATGGAGGCTTTACCCCTGCTAAGGGACGTCTCTACAGGAGGGAAGCTAGTGAGAAGGCTCTTGGCCTGGGAGACGGGGCAGGGAACAGCTTCTCTCAGGCCTCCCCTCCTCCCTGACCAGATGCTCCACCGGTGGGCTCCCAGGTCTCAGCCTGCCCCGGGAGTTCAGCAAAATGGGAGGGCAGGCCGGGGTAGCGCACACGGGCAGGAAAAGAGCACGACGCTGCCACTCCTACCCTCTCTTATTTTGCTCTCCGACCCTTTTTCCTTTTGTTTGTTTTGCTTTCTATAGTGCAAGGGAACATCTGGACTCCAGTGACAGCACACCAAATTTGCATGCATATAGCACATAATTAAACACGCATCTGTCTGCAGCTGCAAACAGCACTTAGTCATACAGAGCGCTCTCCACACCCCTTCCTGCCTGTGCTGCTCTTCCCCCTGTAGTGCCCTCTCAAGCACAGCCTCTGAGGGCTGCTGAGCGCTGACCTCCTCCTGTACCGTTGTGAAGGCAGTTGCATGCCTGAGCTTTAACCCGTCAGTGTAACCTTGATGAGCCTGCACTTCTTCCACTGATTTCTAGTAGCAACCACTTCCTGCCTGCGAGGTGATGCACGCAGCCCAAATCCGAACACCCGTGTCTGCGTCCCAATCATCGGCTTTTACAGAAAGAAGAGCTGGACCTGAGTTGGTTTTGTTCCTAGTCCCTCCTTTCAGCTGTGCGGAAACTCATTTCTGGATAGCTACTTCAGAGCAATAGCATTTTTTATATCTGCACCTTGCCTCCCCGTGCGTGGGCACGGCAGAAGCTGGGTTCTCTACTCCCTTCAGCTAGGAAGAAGTTTACACCTGCTCTAGGGCTTCCACCCCATGCCTATGAAAGGCGTATTTTAAAATTGTATCACATCGAGTAAATTCTTATAGCCTGAGCCTACCTTTTCGCTTGTAGAGTCGCTTGCAATGAAGCCATGGGCAGCATTTTTTCACCCGCAATAGGTGTCCTCATTTCTCCTGTAACAGAGTCAAATTCTCTGGGCAGGTAACATGTAATTTGCTGTGAGCTACAAGTAAGAGATACAGTTTAGAGTCATTGACAAAATACAACAAACATTTGTAGTGCGCTGAAAACCAAAGACTGCACTGCATGTTCCTGAATTTCTGCTACCGGCATCATATATTTTAATTTACCTCTACACTGAAATGGTACATAGTAACAGGCAGGGCAGGCTTCAGAAAGGGCACAAGCTGGAGAAGGAAGGGCTGGCGTGTGGTTAAAGGGAGCGCTGTGTCCCCAGCAGTGCTTAGATACGACAGAAAGGCTTCACAGTCAGGACAACAGGGACGACTCCACATGGCCCCTTGCATCTCCTCACTGTACAACCCTGCCGTCTGATCAAGGCTTTTCTGGACATGCAAGTCTCACACCTACATAGTGCTCTTCGCTGGAGAATTCCTGCATGTGTTTGAAATGACATTCCTGGGTATAATTTCTAACATTTCTATTGCATTTACTTGTGTTAGCAGTAAGTAGGCATTCCCGGTTATGACAAATTCACACAAATTGCACAAACCGTTTGCAGCAACTGCAGCTTCAGAAACCTTATTGAGGCCCAAAGATCTGTTTGAGAACAAAAGTTTGCTTTTCATATAGATGGATATAGATGCTTTTCATATTAGCGGGCAATGCTAATGTAGGTTTTTTGCTAATGTCCTGTAACTGCAATGCACAAAATAAGCCTGGCTGGCACGAAGCAGCACTGTAACGCCGTCACATGCATCTGCCGTTCAGGCGTAGTTGTGCTTATGAGAGCACATTCCACCACCAAATCCAGACAAAAATGTTAAGGCTTTTACTATTAGGAGAGGTGAATTCATTATTTTTCATTTGGGACCCACAGAAAGTTCAAAAATATGTGGACCTACTTGATTTTAAGCAAACTGAATGGCTAGACGGAGATTTGTGCTTGTATGAAACTCTAGTAGTACAGGCTGTATAACAGCACTCTCAGTTCAGTTAGGCCTCCCAGCATCTGCAGAGGAGCACAGTTAACTCATCTCACAACTTCAGCTGTATAAAAGGTGGATATCTACTCTATGCTCTCTCTCTCTCCCTCTCTCTAATCAATTCAGGGTGTTAGTGACCCCTAAACAAGAGCACACCCACGCGCTACTTAAACATGTATTGTAAGAGGACAAGGCAACAGCCAGCCCATCTGCGAGCTCCCAAGGCACCATGTGGAACAGCAGCAAGAAACTCACTGAACTAATTCCTTGAAGATGGATGTGGCTTTTGATTACACTTTAGTCCTAAGGAATAATTAGGCTACCTTAGGCCCCACCTACAGAAATACCATTGTGCAGTGGTGTCAGCAGGCCTCGATGAAGAAAGGAGCAAGCCAGAGGGAAGTCTCTCCTGCTTTCAATTACAAGGAAAATTTGTCATTATAAATGCTTTTGTCACTCATCCTTTTCAGTATTGATTTACCAAAATATAGGGTGGTTAGCTCCTGGCATCTCTGCACTGCGAGAACTGTCATTCATCACGATGATAACACAGTACTAGGATCTACAACACTAGATTTGCCAGCATTTCTCTACCTTCTTATTTTTCGGTGTCTTGGTGCTACCACTGGAAGAAATCTCTACTGAATCTCTACTGAAATCTCCACTGCTTTTGTGATGAGCTAGACAGATTGGCGGGCTCGTATATTTATTCTTTCTCCCTTACGTCATGGAAAAATAACATATGTGAACTATTTTTGCTGCGCTTGATATGATGTGAAGCTTGAGAACCTGAGGGGAAAATGTAGACTGAACCCCAGGAGAAAGGCATATGAAATAGAGATGTATTTGTGTAAATGTATGTGTGCTTGTGTGCTTATAACCCCTTTAAAAATAGGATGAGTGAAAGAACTATTAAAGGAAGGAAAAAAGAGAAGAATGCTTGCTGGATGAATTGCAGTAGAAGAAAGCATTTGAGAAAAATGCTAATGGAATGAAAAATGGAGCGTGCACTGAGAAAATAAAAGGTAATTTCTCCCATGCTATATTTAGAAGAGGAACTCTGAAAAAAATGGCCTGCAATAAAAGCATAACTTTTCTGGCTGTATTACCCTGGTTATTGCTGTGCGTA